CAAGACCGAATTGGAGCCTCGTTTGGGACACGACTGACGCAACCATGCGAAGAATGTAAATGATCTGAAGAAGGACAACATCCTGCACCAGTTGGCATGGATGAAACCCTGCTCAACCTGGGATAAACCACCTACAAACTGGTGCGAAGTGGATTGTGTCCATCCACAGTAATAATTCCGGCATGGCTCAAACATCATGTCCGAAGGTTATAATCATTCACAATCAGAGTCTTCTGCAGCACGTGGATTGGCCCGAAAGACCCATGCTTATTTCACCAACCTGATTTGAGGAAGCCCTGGAGCTTCGATAATGGGCTCGGCTCTTACCTGAAGCAAATGGAAGTAAGGGGCTTCACATTCCAGCATTTTCTAGGGGGTGGGGGTGGTGAGAGGGCAATACTGCTCGAAACTGAGGAGTGCGTGTGTCCCAACAAAAAACACACAATGTGCACGGCGCGAACAAAGAGGGTGTCCTTTTCCCAATCCAGGCCAACTGGTTGACACTACGTGGCTTCAGCAGAGAGCTTAGAATAAGGGTACCAACTTTTTTCTGTAGTCTATTTTAGTAGGGGAACCCTCCCAACCAAAAAAAGGGGTGAGAAAGGGCACCTAGCTGGGGACCTAGACTGATAGAAAAGACCTGGTTCCGGAGCCAACTCGCCTCGCCTCGATCCGGTGCCCACTCTGCTGCAGAGAGTTGGCGAAGCCAGTTACCGCGCTGTCGGTTTGCCAGAGATTGCACCAAGGGTCACGGGGGCAAGCAAAGAACACATCGCTTCTGGAATGCCAGTACCTGGGTCTCAAGAGTCTTAATCTGAGCCTTAGAAAGTGGGATCATGTACTCAAAATAAGCGGTCAAGACCATGTTTAAAGGGGCAGGGAGGCAGGACGCTTTTTTAGAATGGTCATGGAGACGCCAGGAAAATATTAGATTCCCCCCCTGCGCATCCAAGCGAACCACTCTTTGCCGGAAGAGAACAATCATGCTCAACAAGTATCGTTCTGTGCACTAGGTACCACAATTCGCCAACCAGAATTCACTCCACAACAAACTGGCCTTCATTCATTTGAGCTCGTTTTACCCGAGGTGAGCTCGATAAAATCCGCGCATGAGATTTCGGTCCGTGCTTCAAATCCAGGAAACACCTCCGACTCCAACCGTGGGCTTCCACCCATGGCTCGGTTAGCACTTCTTTACAGCTCTTTTAGTGCCACCAAAGAAATAGTAGATCTACCAAATATGATGTCGAACCTATGACATAAATCAGCTCCGCAGAATTGCCGGATTGATGGTTTGGAGGTGTCTAGCTTTGCTGGTTTCTCATTGATCCACAAGAGCCATGGATTCAAATCCCATCCACACGAATCCAAACCACCCATGAAGGGGGTACCTGAACAAATCAGGGCTGTCCTCAGCCTGCCAAAAGCGAATAGCTTGTAGGTTCAAAAGCGAAACCCAACCGCCAAACCTAAAAGTTCAAAAGCTATGGCCTTCGGGAAGCCACCGAGAAATCAATGCCTGGTGTCGGCAGAACAACTTAGAGGAACCCCCTCTAGCGCATGTCTCCCCCCAAAAGGCCGAGGCAGGGGAAGGAAGGAGCCTCTGGAAAAACACAATAATCAAAAATCGACTTGTCCCATTTGCTTACGCCCCCCGGAAAAAAGAAATGTGAACTAGACATATGTCCAGGCTTGAGAGAGTCTATCCATATGCCTCCAAAAACCTCCAGCCGGTTTTCAAGATTGACCCAGATACAAGGCCGCTCGCAAAAACAAATGCCTCCCATCCCTCGGCCCGGTACCTCTTCCGCTGCGAATTCAGCTTCAGAATATTTTCGCCGCGCTCAACGCGGCTGCCCGGCAACGGCGCGCATCGGAAAAACAACCCTCGCAGGTATCTTTTTCAAGAGGCTGCTCCAGAGACCTGATCGCCAATAGAAAGTGAATCGGACACCCCAACTAGGTCCTCCAGTAGAGAGGTTAATTAGAATACGGGTGCCAACTTTTTTCTGTAGTCCATTTTAGTAGGGGAACCCTCGCAACCAAAAAAGAAGGTAAAAGGGCCCTACTGGGAGACCTAGTCAAAATGGTGTTTTTGCCTTTTGGTGTCTCTTGAAAACCACCAAACGAGGGGGGTATTTATCTTTAGAAAGACTGACCCATGTTGAGACAACGCCATGGCCGACTGCTGACACAGCAGGAAGTGCCCTGGAAAATGCAGCTCATGACTGGGCGGTCCGTTTTCAGATCCGCGAAAAGTGAACATTTTTTAGAGGGTAAAATAGAAATCCCCACTAAACACTAAACAGCTAAAAAGCTAGAAAGCTAAATAGCTAAAAAGCTAGCTGGCCATCAAATACAAATGGTAACAGTTGAAATGGCTACAACCTACCTGATGTCAACTTCGGGGTAAACAACCCGAAATGACTTGTATTTTAAACAACTAGGAGCCGTCCTCCAGAGCAATCCAATAAACAACAATTGGCGACATGATGTACATGCCGGGACCCTCAAACTACACATAAAAATAAGAATTCACCAACCATGATGTTGGGCTTGGGTATTTTGATCCAGGTATATAGATATGATACATGCATGCATAACCCGTATGCACCGCACGTGCCGCATGGCCATAGGAAGAAAGCGCCAATTCGCATTGATGGTTCACATGCATCCTAATGTTGACCCCGGATTAATAAACCCCTGTTTATTAATATGGGGGTGTTCCCCTCCAAAAGTGATAAATCCTCACTAAAACCAGGGACACCCCCATATTAATAAACAGGGGTTTATTAATCCGGGGTCAACATAGCAAAACAACCAGGCACCGGACTGACGGGCTTGAAACCTCACTCTTTGGACACTTGGGGTTGCCACAAAAGGGACGAAACAGGGTGTCCTATATGTGGCTGTGGGTGAACAAAAAGGTACCTGGACCCTCAAACTACCCATAAAAATGGGATATCACCAACCATAATTTGGGGTCAAACCCCATTTTTAAGGATTTTTTCAGGATTCAGGTACTCAAAATGGGTTGCCCTGGTAAATGGAACCAAAGACTAAAACCTGCGGTCCCCATGGTGGTTTTATTTTGAGCCCCACTCATGTCTCCGAGCACCCGCCGGGCCGCCGAGCACCGGCCAAAGCTTGAGGTGAGAGGACAGAGGCGAGGTGACCAGGCGACGCCAAAGGCTCTGGCCAAGAGACTGCGAAAAGAGATGGCTGTGGCTCAAAAAACCGGTACCAAAATGGGTTGCCCTGTTAAGTGGAAACATGGGTACCAAAACCTGCGGTTTGCCCCTTCTGTTCAATTTTGAGCCACACTCACAACACTGGGCTGTCCTAGGGCACACTTCCATTTCCATTCTTTCCATCCGAATCTTTCCAGAAAACCATCAGAACCCCAGAAGAAAAAAACGCGATCGGGTTTTGAGAAAAGAACGATGGTTGACCAGAATGGAAAAGGAATGAACCCCATTCTTGTCCTCAGATCCAAGTTTCACCTGTGGGTTGTAGATGGTTCACCCGCACCAAAGCTAAAAACCTAAAACCCCTCAGAAACCGGAGGATTCGCTGGGAAGCGCCCAGAACAATTCTTCAGTGACCCTGGGGAAAAAACACTTTTTGGGGCTTGGGGCATTTTTAGTGGGGCAGCCATCAAAAAAAAAGGAAAAAGAAAAAGGGTGCCACTGAAGAGCCATCCCGGAGAGCCGAGACGGCCCAGGAGTCGCCATGCAGAAGGGACCCTCCAGTGGAGTGGCTTGGTTTTAGGGACCAGAACAAGGGCGTGGCCCTCAAGGCACTTGTTGTCCCAAAGGGTGAATGGGCAGAAAAGGGGAGACATGTCTCAGGAAAGGACATGGAAATAATCAAAACAAGCTCCCTTTTTAGAAGCTTGCCAATTGGATCACTGGGAAACCTGAAAGAAAAACAAAAAACAAAAAAACATCTCCGGTTCATGTGCGGGCAAAGGGCCACGCCTGGGAAACCGGGCTGTTGAAATGGAATCCACTGGAATCTGTGATAAAACAAAAAGGGCTTCCAAAGACGACGTTCAACGTCTCCAGATCCCACAGAGGTTCAACCCCCCCAAAGGCGTCCCAAAGAAGTGAAAAAAACCCATATAAAAAGGGACCTGAACCCTCAAAATTCCATCTTAAAAATGGGTTTGACCCCAAACAATTATGGTTGGTGATATCTAATTTTTATGGGTAGTTTGAGGGTCCAGGGAGATTCCAACTTGTATCACAAAAGTGGGGCTAAAGAGATTCTATCTTGTATCACACAAGTGGTTGGAAGAACCCCGAGTGATCCCACAACCCTGTCGGAGAACGAACTGAAGTCATCAAACTAACTGAAGTCATCAAACTAAGTGGTCTCCTACTTGCTTTCTTACATCAAACATTGAGTGGGATATGAGATATGATATAAATGGTCTCAAGATCGAAATATCTGAAAGTCGGGAACCGCCAAAGGAAACATTAGCGCTCATGTGACACAACTTAGGCGATGCCAGCGACATGGGAAAAACAAAAATCAGCGCTCAAGGGGAGAAACAGAAACACTTGAGAGGCTCACGTGCGGGCGCAATTTTGAGCACACCCGTTTCAGGTTGGTTCAAGGGGAAGCAAAATCCTTCTCTTTGACGCACACCTTTTGCTGCTTTGAAGGGAAAATCCCAGCCCCCAAAAAGGAAAACTGGGTGCACGAGTCTACAAGGCAAACCCACGTCCAGTGCCATGACTGTTGCTCATCTGATCTGAAGTGTAACCGCCCCTTTTTCACCGTGGCGTCTTTTGAAGCTTTGAGCAATAGGGATGATGCAACGCCAAGGGATGTGAGGATTAGGAAAGACCCAACCACCCACCAATTTGTTTAGCCTCCCCCTGTTTCTCATACACTGCTCAACACAAAAACAAAAATATTCAATATAGCATGCTTTCAAAGGAAGCCCCAAATTGGACCCCTTTTCACACACAGACCATCACCCCCGTCTTTGTTTCTTCGACTGCGCATGTTTGTTGCCAAGCCTAAGAATCCTAAGAAACCAGAACCGCAACATCGCGAACGCCGAGTCGCGAACGCGAGACATCGCGAACGCCGGTCATTCCGGAAGATTCCGCTCTCTCAGAAACCGGTGATTCAGCGCCTGGCTGCGTCGGGCTTCGGGCGCGCTTCTGCCCGGAAGTCACTAAGTGGACTTCCGATCTGTGTCTTGGCTTCTGGGGGTATCGTTTTTTTTTTTTTTTCCCCCTCAGTATCGGTTACAATGGTGTTGGCCTGCAAAACAAGTTGGTTCCGGAACCCTCAAAATTCCCTTAAAAATGGGTTTGACCCCCAAAATTATGGGGTGATATCCCATTTTTATTGGTAGTTCCAGGATTATTTGTTCAGCCCACTTGGGACGGGTTGAAACGCGGGGCGTTGAACTTGACGGCCAAGGGAAACTCACAACCGGCCATGCGGCAATGCGGAACGGTGACGTTACAAACCAACTCGTTTGGTCTGAATTTTAATTCGGGACCCTTTGGTGGATATCAAATTTAGGTCAGGATCCATGTCCACCTGGGTGTCGATAAAAGTAGCCAAGCAGAGCTACCCGGAGATAGACACGAAGAGGGCGCCCAAGAACAAAGGCCCTTTTCAGGCGCCATGACTTCATCTTCCACCCGTGCCGGAGAGGAGGCCACCGAAATCCGACCCAAAGAAATTAAACGAATGGAATCATTTTCCATTTGCTGAAGTCTCCTGAATGAGAAACTGTTTTCCAGTGATAGACTAGCTGTTCAAACCAAAGGACATAAAAACACATATTCTCAAACTAGTGGCTTGAGAAGCCCAGAACGAACAGACTAACTACCTGTCCCAATTCGAGCCACGAATACCATCATCAAAAAACTTTTATCGTGGTCACGCGTCTCTCACCAATTGTTAGTGTGTGTGTGTGTGTGCGTGTTTTCCGGAGGGTCCCCTTTTTGAGGTTGTTTTAAAGGGACAGCAAAGGAAAACACCCCCCCACCCCCCACCCACCCGCCCTTTTCTAGGGCCAATGAGCATCCCAACCAGGCAATTGGCTCTTCTTTTTGACACGCACCAATTGGGCACCGCAGTTCCACTAGATCTATCGTGAGGACATCTCACCAAACAAACTCACATAAAACGGCCTTACCCTAATGGTGGTTTAAAACCATCCAAAAATTCCCGGTCTGGTGCTTCATTTACACATGCCTCTTCTCAAAATGTGATGCTTAAAACCACTCTAGAAGAAATCACTGGCTGGTGCTTGTTAAATCGTCCATTGCGCTTTTGCTCGTCGGTTTGCAGTAACATAGCCATCCATTTCCTGCTGGCGTCCCCGAAGCGAGACAAGCAAAAATTGTCAGGGCAAAACCAATCAGAATGGTTGTGGAAAAGTTGAAAAGCGAATCGAGTCATGATCACGCGAGCAGCATGTTAGTAGTCATTTAGCCCCTCACGTTATGGGAATCTTTGATTGTGGATGTCTTTCTTCTAAGGGATCCGGGGACACCACTCGAAACACCTGAAATCCCCAAACGGCGTATATCCATACGAACTGGATACCTTTGATTCAGGAAAGGAAAGCCTGCCTTGGGAGGTTCTAAATGGGACGAAGGGAAGCCGTCCCAATGTGAGGTGCAGATAGAGGCACACTCCTTCAGAAACCATAAACCCAAGAGAAGGCAACATGAAGAAGACACATGGGTGGCTCCTCTTTTGTACCAAACCTCCACACATGGCGCAACTATGCTCCTGTTGGTCTCCCTTTTAACTTCTTTAACATTCACCCACAAAAATCCACAAAACGGGGTACCCTCAAAAACGACACACCCACATGCCAGCAAGCTTAGTCTAGTTTCAATGTTGGATCAACGGGGTAACTAAGTTGAATGGCTTGAAGCTAGTGAAACCTACCCGACAGCTTGCCAGCGGAACAGGTAAGACCCCTTTCAGAATCAAATTTGGCACAACTTTATTGCCCCACACCCCAGGTTTGTGGTTCCATGCGGGGGGCGGGGGGGCGGGGGGGAAAAACCAGCTCCGGGGGGCCCATCATCGCCGCGTGGCCGCCTGCTTGGCAGAGGGCCGCGCGTGCTTGTCGGGGGTCAGCAAGCGACCTGCTGCATGGCTGGGGGGTTCTCCGTTGCTCTCGAAGGAAGCCACCGGAAGTACCTGTTCTAGGGGGTTGAACCGATTCGCTGCTTCTCTGGGTGTTGATAGTTTCCTGAAAAAAAACGGATCCTGGGAAAGAATGGGGAAGGTAGCCCTAGACCTGTTGGTTCCTTGGTTCAAGTTGGACCCCCCAAAGAGCTTCATTTCTCCCAAATTATTTAAATTTGATATTGCACTCCATGATCCACCACTTCCGCTTGTTGGATCAAATACATAACTTGTTTGTAACTGGTGTACCACTAACACTTTGTCTACCACCAAATACATAAAATTTATTATTATATGCAACACCAGCAGCTTGAGTTATTGCTGTTGGCTAGGCAACCGTTTGGGTTTTAGAAGGCGAGCAAACTGTTGGTTGCCTACCAAAGGGTAAATGGAATTCCCGGATGGCTGGGAACCGCCAAGAGTTGGAAAAGAGATTCTCTTGGTTTCCCTTTCCTCCATTTGCTGGGAAAACCGGATATCGGAGGGTCCCCCTCACCCCCCTCTCGGATGAGTCTGGACCGAGGCCAGTCCTCTCCGGTCCAAACCCTGCACGGACCCCTGTTTGGCCAATAGGACCGCAATTGGAAAGTACAACCTGAACCCTCAAACTTTCCCTTAAAAATGGGATATCACCCCATAATTTTGGGGGTCAAACCCATTTTTATGGGTAGTTTGAGGGTCCAGGAAGCCAATTGAGTGTTTTTTCCAGGGCTGGAGAGGGCCAGGATTGATGGATTGAGGGGGATTTGTGTTCTTCGGGCGGGGGGGAGGGGATTTTCGCCTTGGACGGGGGTACCCTTTACGAGCGTGTCAAACCTTAGTCCTCGTTTCTTGTCTTGTCAATAAACTGTATTATGAAATTGGCTGTTTCCGGCTAGTCGTTCTCCTTTTTTCTGGAATGGCACCCCTTGAGACTGCATGAAAGGAGTAGTATCGGCAAAAGTATTGGCAATAGCTTTGGTAGTTTCAAATCTTAATTTGCTATGTATTCATTGAATTTTGGGCCAGAAAGGGACATCTTAAATCAGAGGGGTTTTGGGAGGTGTCTTCAAAAAAGAAGACGGGTCTTTGAGCCAAACCTTGTGGGCGCGCTTAGGAAGTAGTATTGGCTGGCAAACCGGGCACCTTGAATCAAAGGGGGTTCAGTACTCGTGTGCCAACTCGGTTGCTTTCTGCTCCCCTGCTAAAAGTGGTTTAATGGAAAAAACGATTAGTTGGCAAAAAGTTAAAGTCCTAACATCCAAGCAAAATGCACCAACGTTTCTGTCAAGTGTGATTGCATGACACCTTCACATCGGAACTCCCCTTGCCAACGCAAGAGGGTGCAAATCCCTAGCCGCTCAGTTGAGCTTGAAGCGAAACAAAAGGGACACCCAGAAACAAAGCAGCAACACATAACCCACCCTTGCCAGCGAATTAAGTCTTCTAGCCTGAATTTGGGGTGCAGAGAGAATCATATTCGCAGATCCTTTTCATACTTACTCTACCGTCAAATCTGAACATATATTTTGGAGACCGCTACAAATGGCCACTAATTTGAAGATGGAACCCCCTGGACACTGGTTGGTGGACATAAACCCCCACCTAAATGATGTCCCCCAGAGGGTCTCCATTTAAAAGTCATGCCCATACCAATGGCCAACTGGCCGTTTAGCATTCAGCTCACTTCTTGTGGCGCGCCGTCGGTCGGTCTGCCTACAAACTCGGCGAACACCGCGTGCTGCGGCGGCACCATCTTCTCCAGAGTAGTCTGAGCCGAAGCGATCGAAGGCCGTACCATCCATGTCCTTAAGCCCAAGAAAACAAAGGCCCAGTGATAAATTCCTTTAATGACAAAAAGGGAAAGTAAGAAATATTCTGAAGCAAATAGATACTGATATGTTGGCATCTTACTTAGGTGGTGAGGAAGTGAAATGGTTGATGACCCCTGTTTTGTTTATTGAAACCTTGATCATAGCTGTCTAAAATCCCTAGGGGGTCAATTGCCATCCTTACCAATCCCAAGTACAAGGGACATGACAATGACATTGACCATGGCCACGTGTCATCATGTGGGTGTTCCCCTTTTTTTAGCTCGCCCTTGTCCGGAATATACAAAAGAAAATCAAACACAACCATTTTGGAATTCGGTTCCCTTGCTTTGAGACAAGAGCCCCCAATGGGTATGCGTTTCCAAATAGGAAGAACCAACATGTCATGGGCTCCACTTTCTATAAGCCGATAACACAACTTCGATACCCTCAATAACTAACACACGCAAAACGCTACGAGGACTCAGGCACAAATTTGTTTTACATAGTCTGGGAATCGGTTTTGATGCGCCTTTTGTGGATTTCACCTGTTCTTCCCCCTGTTGGTCCCTTTTTTAGTACTCTTTTTGTACTCTTTTAACCTTCTACAGGGGTGGAACCACAAAAACCCCATCCAAACCGTTTTCTAGACATAGCCCCGCTTTGGAAGACACTAACGTAACCTGTCGCGTTCCAAGCTTCTCCTTCCTGTGCTCAACTTGGCCTCCAACAACTTGGATACGGGGACACATGGGGGACCATGGGGGATATCACATGTCCATAACCACGACATCCAGGTTAAATAACGAAAACCAACAAACAAACAAACAAACAAACAAACAAACAATAAACAAACACACAGACAAATACAAACATAAGCCCAACTAGAAGCATTCACGCACGCACCACACATCCTTCACATCCATATAAACATTAAAAACAAATAAGAAACAAAAGAAGAAACAAAGAAGAAACACACATACCCACACATACAAACACACACCACCAGAACAAACAACACCACTTAACACATCAAACACACACACACAAGAGTTACACACACGCACACACACACACACACAAACACACACACACACACACACACACACACACACACACACACACACACACACACACACACACACACACACACACACACACACACACACACACACACACACACACACACACACACACACACACACACACACACACACACACACACACACACACACACACACACACACACACGCACACGCACGCACGCACGCACGCACGCACGCACGCACGCACGCACGCACGCACGCACGCACGCACGCACGCACGCACGCACGCACGCACGCACGCACGCACGCACGCACGCACGCACGCACGCACGCACGCACGCACGCACGCACGCACGCACGCACGCACGCACGCACGCACGCACGCACGCACGCACGCACGCACGCACGCACGCACGCACGCACGCACGCACGCACGCACGCACGCACGCACGCACGCACGCACGCACGCACGCACGCACGCACGCACGCACGCACGCACGCACGCACGCACGCACGCACGCACGCACGCACGCACGCACGCACGCACGCACGCACGCACGCACGCACGCACGCACGCACGCACGCACGCGTGCACGCACGCACGCACGCACGCACGCACGCACGCACGCACGCACGCACGCACGCACGCACGCACGCACCCACACACACACACACACACCCGATCACACACACACACACACCCGATCACACACACACACACACACGCACGCGCCCGATCTTGGCTGGAATTAGGACCCCAGCAAAAAATGTGTTCTTCTTTCTTTTGCCCAGTAGTGGAAAACATAGGGAACCCCAAAAAAGCAACAAGAACAAAAAGGGGGAACTCATTCTGGGGAAGCGATGAGGCTCTCGTGTTGGCGTTCGCGTTTTGTCCCGTGGCCTGGTTCCGCACGTGCCGCTCCGAGGAGGGGCTTTGCGCCCCCGCGGGCCTCGGGGAAGGGGGTCGCTTTGGGCTCGGGTCCGACTCCACGGGGACGGGGACGCTGGTGGGGTTTTGGTTGGACCCTCAGACTTCCAACTGAAAAATGGGCTTGACCCCCAAAATGATGGGGTGATATCCCATTTTTGTGGGTTTGAGGGTCCAGGTGGTTGGTTTAGTGCCCGGTTTGTTTCCAGCCATCTCAGGCTTTTAGGTGTTTGGTTTAGTGCTCGGGCGTCCATTTAAGCCACAAGTTATTCACTTTTAGCAGAATTTGAGCAGGGGATCAGAAAACTTGCTTCTCAGGGAATGAGAAATGGCTCCCGAGAAAAACCATGCAGGTGGTTTCCTTGGGACCAAAGCCTGGGTTCATTCCCAAAACCCTAGGTCATTCCAAACTGAGAACAAACAAGATTACTCTCCCCGAGGGGTGTCTACCTAGTATAATCAATTCATAGGCCCATCTCAGCAGTTCAACTGGCAGGTCCGACGTGACTTTCTGGTGTTTTCTTGGTCAGTGTCGTGTCGATTTCGTGCCCCCAAAGGGCGGACTATGGAATTCTGGCCACCGTTCATTCATGGAGGGAATTATGAACATAGGTGTCCTTTTAGGGGAAAAAGATGGATATCCCTGGCAGATGATGAAACCACTAGGTCAACCAGGAATCGCCATCTATTTTTCTAGCAAAACAACCCAAAAGGACACCTATGATTATGAATTTATCGCCGCCAGTTTGGGTGTGCCAACCATCATTCATAGCCACACGGGTCCCTGGCGGATTTGATGGTTGGATGGTTGGCTGGACGGATTTTTTCTCACTTGCAGCATTTAGGGAATCCAGCATCCCGCCTGGCGGAGATTAACGGAGAACACGGTGGTGTGGTGTTGGACAGTTCCATGCCTTTCAAAGACGATGGGAACCCTTCGATTGACAAACTCCCGATGAAGACCAAGGGGGAGTCTTGTTCTAGGAAATCGATCCCTTTGAGGGAGAAACCCCCCTTTGCGAATTCGCTTGTGATTTTCATGCTGCGAGGCATGCCTCCTTTGTCCTTTGTATTTACCCAGACCTTGGCCATGGGAGTCATGGGGGGCCTGTGGCCGTAGTCTCACATTCTGTTCCTTGTCTTCACGCCTTCGTCTTGCAGCTCTCAGAATTTCAGGCAGCCCGGTGATCAAGGCCTACGAAGCGCCAATGTGGCCCTCCTGCATGTCTCTTTTCCCATAGGCCTCTAAGACCAGAATGTCAACTTCGGATTAACAAAACACACGGGATTCTTCCATAAATGCAACGGGGAAACTTTTAAACTGCATAACAAAACGCATAAACTCACCAAGAAAGGTTCCTTTTGCCATCCCAAGGCTAAGAAGCGCTTGCTCAATGTGATCTATTCCTCCCTCTTGGTGGACATGATTGCCAACCACGGGATCTGTACCCAGTGCATTGTGTGAATGACGGGATGGGAGACGGGCTCCTAGCATCCGAACACCACAACTCCCCCCCCACAAGTGCTATAAGAGGGAATGACACGCCAAATACTGCCGGCGTTAGGGTGGTACCCGGAAAAAGACTCAGGATCTCAGATGCCCAGTGGCCATGGGAAAAAAAGGCATTCTTTTTTGTATTGGTTGAATTTAAAGGGAACCCTTCCCAAACAAAAAGTTGAAAAAGGGCACCACTGGGCAACTGGGGGATTGGCTTTGAACACTCCAGTAAAGAGGGTCCGTATAGGTGGCCTTTTGCACAAGTAGACGGGTTGCCAGTTCAATGGAATTCAACCAATCCAAAACCAGCGCCATCTATTCAGGCTGTGGCTCAAAAAAACAGGTACCCAAAATGGCACCTTGGTGTGTGGAAGCAATGACTAAAACCTGCGGAACGCCAGCTGTGTAATTTTGAGCCACAGCCGTTTCTATCCAATCTAGCCGATCAAAAGATGGCCACCTATGGTTCCTGCCGCATTCAGAGGCTCGCTCGCTCGGTCCGTCCCTCCCGGGTCTCAGTTCTGTCAACCGAATGTCCCAGGCTGCCCAACCAATTGAGCCGCCACTCCCCGTATCTATCCCTCGCCAGGTACCTGCGAGGACTTGGGCGCCAGACATAGACCCTACAGAAACTCAACTTGTTTGCTGGTGAAAAGCGAGAATTTCAGGAAAACCCAAAACAACAATATCTCGGGATTTCTGAGGCCTTATTTGGGTTCAGGGTGTCTCAGGGAAGGGAGGCATACTATACTATACGGGTGTGTCTGTTTCGAGGATTTGGAGCCCCCAAAGTGATGGTTTCTTTGGTTTCCTGTAAAACCACCAAAGAAACAATGCCCTGAAAAAGAAATGGCCGAGCCGCCCCTGTGTTTACACCGAACAAATATTCCAACTTCGGCTTCTGCCAGGTATCGACCCGGAACCCCCGAGTGAAAGCCAGTTGAATCGGTCCTCAGAACCGCGAAAAGTTGACGCGGCGCCTGGATTTTTTTTGGGGAGTTCCGTGGGGCAGTTTGTGGGATTCAGGGCTGCAGCAGACTTCCCTGTAGTTCCCCTTGAAATATCACCGGTGCCGGGGAACTCACCTAACCACCAAAAAGGGAAATATGGCCATGGGTCAAAATCCAAAGCCCGTACCCCCAGCAAACATCCCAATCCAACCACTAAAATAGGTTCTGAAAAGGGTGGTGAATTCACCGAAAACCCCAAAATGGGATCCCAGAATGGTTTTGACCCACAGCCATAAAGCGACCCCCTGAGGGCTTGGGCGCACTTGTCTCTGGCAGGGCCGGTCGCCTGCTGAAGCATCTTGCTGGGCATCCGCCCAAGGCTCTTCTCCTGAGAACAGGCCGAAAACTCGGTCATGACAAGGAAACAGTCCATCCGTGTGTGTGTGTGAATAATGGGCGGCTTTTGCCATGGATCATTAAGCGGTCTTAGGATGATCACAGTAGAATCACCTACTAAAAATGGCAATTGTTTTGTTTTTTTGCGCTGCTCAATTGACCTGGCGATCATGACGCACAGGCGCTTTGATGGCTCATAATTAAGTCACCCGGTTGGTTTTGTTTGAAGGTTTTTGTGGTGTCCAAAGGGCAACCTTTGCTCGGGGCAAAGGTGAAATATGACAATTCGCCCCAAAAGGGTCTGTCTTTTCTGGGAGTTGGTACCCTTGTGCTGTTGATTGAACGAGCCGAAACGAAGCCCGCCGAGGGGGGGGGGGGAAGTTCTGCCCTTGAAACAAACTCGCTTCAAACTCATCCCCCCGAATGGTTGGGTAAATGAGGAAATCACATGAGCCACTTGCTCAACACCCGGTAGACAAATGGTCTACCTGGACCCTCAAACTACCCATAAAAATGGGATATCACCAACCATAATTTTGGGGGTCAAACCCATTTTTAAGGGAATTTTGAGGGTTCAGGTACCCAGAGCCATGCTTCCAAGAATTAAGAAGGCGGATATCCGCAACTATAACTCTGGCTGGGACTGCTCCTTACTAACCGGATCATCTGCCCGAATCGGTTTTGAGCAAGTGGCTCACATGAGAACCTCGAGTTCGGAGTTGTGTACCCCCCTTGCGGCCAACGCCCCAGTTCGGTAGAGGCCATGAGTCACAAAGGCTCTCAAACAATATACCCGGTATGTCACAGTGTTGCCTGGGGGAACCCGCGAAATAGATGTGCTTTCGCTGTGGCTCCCATATCAAAAAGTGTCCAGGCCTTCAAATTCTTCGTGTGCCTTCGATCTCAGAAATCCCAGTCAGCTTGCTTACCCGAAGCGGCCATGAGCCCTAAATTCCAATGGTTCACTAGGTCCTCCAGTAGAAAGGATAGAATAAGGGTACCCTTTTTTCTGTAGCCTATTAGCAGGGGAAGCCTCCCAACCAAAAAAGGGGTGAGAAAGGGCACCACCGGACCTAGATTCAAATGCCGAGCGTGGCAAAACGAGAATTGAGCCCTGCGGTTGAATGAATACGCTGGGTGTTCCGTGTTGGAGGCCTTTTCAAGGGAAAACCCACTCGATCCCAGTTGGCCACCAGGGCTGGGGTTGAAGTAGTATCCGCGAATCTGTGATACAACAGAAAGGGCCTACCTGAACCCTCAAAATTCCAACTGAAAAATGGGTTTGACCCCCAAAATTATGGGATAGTTTGAGGGTCCAGGTAACCCCAAAGACAAAAGGGAGATTCCAACTTGTATTGCAGTGGGGATAACCCCCGAGTGATCCCACAACCTGTAATAAACGCCTGGGAATGTCAACCCAGGATGAACTGACCCCTACTTATTAATATGACTCTACATATTATTATTATAATATATATATATATATATATATATATTTGCGGGGGTCATCACCTTTGAAGCGGAATCGCAATCAGGGGGTTTAGTGGAACACTCCTTGATTTCAACCCAAAAGTTCAAGTCTAAAGATCCAACCCAATAGCAGTCAAGCTTGGGGGCATGACCAAAAATGGTCGAACCCGGGAATCGCAAAAGGTTTGATGAGTGGAAGGGCACCTCAAGGGAAGCCACAGCTGCGTCAAGTCCGGCGGACGAAAAAGTGACACCTAAATCTTCCATTTGGTTAGGGCCCCAGGAAAGCCTAACAATATTTCCACTAGTGCTGAGTTCCTTTTAAAACCAACAAGAGAACATAATAATGATAATAATAACTTTAACTTAAGCAAATGGAGGAAATCGATCGATCCCCAGACGAGGGACACTCAAAGAAAAACTCCGGCTCAATGGATCTCCGAGGCGCCAAGTAACTAAGTCTACACGGAAAATCCAACTCTCAACAACTTCCTGATAGTTTTCCGTTTAATTTCTGCAGCGCGGCCCTATTTTCTCTCTTTCCTTTAAAAGGTCAGATGGCTTCAGTCAAAGTGCAACATGTCTGCACCCCCTGAGCGACGAAAAGGTCGGCAGCCCCTTTGAGGAGCTACCGCTGACGCGCCTTATGGCCTTCGGCCACAAAGCTCAAAATGCATCCGACCAAGGTGACCCTTGATCGTTGCCGCCGGCTGGACCTTCGTCACCAGGTCCGCCTCGTTCTCCTTCCCATCTACCTTCACCACCGCGACCTCCTTGGCAAAGACCTTGTCCTGAAGCCAAAGAAATCTCGCCTGGATGTGGCGCGTCTTGCCCACACCCTTCCGAAGGCTCATCGCCCGAGCCGCCGTGCTGTCCACCTTCAGCATGACTCTCGTCACCGCGTAGCCCCAGAAGTTGATGACCCCGCGGATGAACTCCGCGTGCGTTGTCGTCCTGCACATGCCGTAGAACTCACTCTCGGCAGAGCTCAGCGCCACCACCTTCTGCCCCGCGGCTCTGATCAGCACCGTGTGGTGCCCAATCTTCACCACCGACCCCGTGGTGCTCCTTCTCGTCCTCAGGTCTCCGGCCCAATCCGAATCGGACCAAGCCAGCACGTCCACCTCCTCAGGCCTCTGCTCCAAAAAGGTCCGCTTCATGTACGGGTACTTCAGCAGGTACCGCACCACCTTCTTGAGCCGAAGCCAATCACCCATCTTCGGGTTCTTCATGGCCGACGCCAACGTCCTTGAGGCGTGAATCACATCCGGCCTGTCCTGGCTCAGATAGGCCAGCCTCATAGTCATAGACCTGAACTCACCGGTCTGGGCCTCGTCCAACGTCTCGGAGCGCTCTTCAACAATGATGTCCAGGTCCCGAATCTTATCCTCCGGGATGTCGCTGCCCTTGGTCTTGGAGTCGAACCCAAACGACCTCATCAGGATCTCCGCGTGCCGCGCATCCGCTTCTACCTCCAAGCGTTTTCCATCCGTTCCATCTGCCACGTACCTGATGAGCCGGTTGAGAAAGAACATCTCCTTGCCGTCCAGCTCCCCATCTCCGACCGTTGCCTCCCACCGGGCCGTGTACTGGCTGTTGAGGACGCCATCCATCCAGGTCAGCTGATCATCCTCCGCCAGTACCAGAAAGTCGTCCCCATGCACCAGCCTGATGATGCCTCTCTCCTGAAACTTGAACAGTGCCGGGCACAGCTTGCTGAACTCGCCCTTCTCCTTCTCCATGAGGCCTTGGTAGTCCATCTGGAAGATCTTGCTCGCATCCTGCGTGCCATACATGCTCCGCAGGAGTCTCCCTACCATCGCCTCCTGATCCTCCGGGTGCACCAAGTCTTCCTGCGGGAGCTCCACAAACAGTTCCCGTTCCGCCTTGCCCATGAAGTGCGCCCGGGAGATGTCCCACACCGCCAGCTTCCTCTTCTTCTTGATGCCCTTCTGCGACATGAACAGGCTCAGGATCATCATGACGCATTCCACAGGCGGTGTTGCTGCGAAGGTGTCTTCTGCGCCCAGCTGTTGGTCTGGCCGCTTCGCCCTCTTGATCTCCTTCGTCACCAGCTCCTCACCTTCGGATTCTCTTCATCCCCTTTATTCACATCCAGCCACTTCAGTTGAAGTGGCTTCCTCTGCTCGCTCTGCTCGCAGAGCTTCCTCGGAACTCTTTCGTAGACCGCCTCCTTGCGAAGCCAGTCCAATTCCTCCGCTCTCGCCTTTCTCACAAGCTCGGCTGGCAGGACCGTCCCCGACGAGTCGTCCATGAACAACTCGTCCAACTCCTGGTTTTCCTTCTCCTGATCCACCCAATCGTCCGGCGAGGCTCCCGTCAACATCTCCTCCACGCTGTTGATCTGTCCTCGTTTCCTCATTTCACTCCGCAGGCCTCTCAGGATGGCCTCCACCAGCTCCACCGGGTAGACCTGGGCTGCCTTCGCCCGATCCTTACCGATGAGGTGAACATGCCGATGAACTTCTTGCCCTTGTAGCACGTTCTCGCACACACCCCTCAGCTCCTCCGCAATGCATTCGCTGTTGGTCAGCCACAGCGTCTCCTTTCTCACATGCAACTCTTCTCCATGGTCGTTCCTCATCTTCATGCCAAATCGGCACATGGGGCTCTGCACCAGGAAAGAACCTTCTTTCTCCACCATCTCTTTTACCTCCGGTTCTTCCCAACTAGATGCTCCCCTCGGGTGCTCATGCAGGAAAATTCCTGCCTGCTCAGCCCGCTGTTTGCAGCACTTCATAGCTTTCTGCAGCCTCTCTCTCCCGAGCCTCTCTTCTTCGGCAACCACGTCTGCGTCCCTCTTCGGGTTCGTGATCCTCCGCAATGGGCTAAAGGTTGTGCAGGGGGGAGAGCTCGTTAGCAGCAGCGGTTTCTCCTCATTGATCATGTTGCGGACCTTCGCGAAGTCCGCCTCCTGATCCATGTCCCATCTCGCCGTCCCACACGGCTTCATCTCATCCAGATCCACCGCCACTCCATCTCTCAATCCGAACCGCTGGAGTTCCAGCGTCACTCTCTTGGGTGAGAAAATCTCCACCACATCCAATGCCCCGATGTCCGCAACCAACTCCGCTGCACCGCGGCTACCAACCTCCTCTGCCAACATGCTGATTGCTGCGTCTCTCACTGCGCCGCCAGGGCCCACATCCTCCTCCTCTACTTCTTTGAGCAAATCCTCAATGTCCACGGATCCGCCCTTCCTCTTTGGCGAGGTCTGCCCGTCTCTACTCGAGCCAGGCTCCTCCAACGCCACGGGCTGTTCCCGCTCGTCTCTTGCCTCCTTAGATGCGGCCCTCTTCTGTGACCTCCTCTTCTCTTCTGCCTCATCTTCTAGGCGTTGCTTCCTTCTCTTCTCTTGGTCCGCCTCGTCGTCATCCTTGATCCTCTTCAGGATCCTCAACCGACACTCTTCTGAATGTCCAACTTGCTGGGTGCCTCCTATGATGGATATGCACCCGCCACACCCAGGCGTCTTTCCATACTTGTTCAACATCTCCCTTCTCACAGGCCAGGCCTTCCCTCTTCCTGGCGTGCCTGGGGCTGGGGCCTCCTCTCCTGCCGCGGCGGGTCGCGAGTCTGGGGGCTGCTCTAGGGCCTCCTCCGCCCGAGCTGCCCGCACCTCTCCTCCAGGTCCGGGACTACCCCCAATGATCACGACCGGCGGTGTTGGCAGCTGCTCTTGCTGCGGCTTCGGCTGCGGCTCCAGCTCGACGTACTTCTTTACGTCCCAGGGGACTCCTCTCATCCCTTCTTCTACCTTGCCCCGCTTCTCTTCTGCAGGTAGGGCATGATGTCCAGTACCTACGATGACCCCCTGATCGGTCATTGCCAGCACCGACCCAAACCTGTTGTGGGTCCCCAAGTACCGACCCGCCTTCATCTTCTCCAGGTCTCCTCGCCGCCCTTTTCCAGCTGGCTTGACCAGGATCTTCTCACCGAAGAGCGGCATCGGCTTCACCCACTTCTTTCCGGTCCTCCTCTCATCCGGGGTCCTTCCGTCCTCGCCGACCTTGAATCGATTGATCTGCTCGGCCGCGTACCTGGGTGCCCAGTACGTCAGCGGATGCCCCTGAGGTACTCCACCCTCAAACTTCTTGGCCAGCGTGAGAAGGATAGCCCTGATTCTCCACTTGACCTCCTTGACGGCCACCTCTGCTTGCCCATTGGCCCTTGCATCCCCTTGCGGCGATTCTTCCGGCACTGCTCTGGAAACTCCTCGTGCCTGCCTTGCCGCCTCCATCTTCATCTTCACCAGCGATCTCTCTCCATCCGACTTCAGGACCACCTCCCTGTAGCCCAGTATCTCCAGGAACCTCGTCAACGCCTTCTGCGCCGTCAGGTCCACCACTCCTTTCTGGTTGATCGCTGTGGCCATCACCATGCCCGTGTCCCGATCGACCGCCACCAGGTTCGGCTTGGCTCCTTCCTCCTCGCTCATGTAGAAGTAGTCCAAGCACACCGTAGGCAGCCGATCTTCTCGATGATCCACTCTCCGATGGACTTGGACCACTCCTCTTGCTTTGATACATTCTTCGCACCAGCTCCTGTAGACCGGTCGCCTCATGCTCCTTTCTCTCACGAGCAGACGGATTGGCTGGACTCACCGCTCTGGCTTCCACCGACTCCTCAACAACTTCTCCAGCGCCACCTCCTCCAGGTCTGACCGGAGCCTCGTCCTAACGCCCATACCGTCTCGCTCTTCTTCTTCCAACCATACTCCTTCCGCCATGGTGGGATGTCATTGTCATCCTCCTCATCTCTATCCTCCTCCTTTGCCATGGCTTTAGGTCTGGCTCCCAAGCCTGATGCTGCCGGCACGGGATCCTCGGCGCTCGATGCGGCCTCCGGTGACGAAGACTCCATCATGGCTACGTCCACCATCTCCGCCACTTCCTCCTTTTCTTCCAACTCCAGGTAGAAGTTATAGATCCCGTTTTCCTCCACCAAGGGGATCAGCCCCTTGTCATGCTCCTTGAGGGCCCACTCCATCAACTCCTCCATCTGCTCATGGACCGGGTGCGTCTTCGGGATGATCGTTTCACCTCCGGAGGTCATCCAGGTGCTGTACCCTTTTTGATGTAGCCGACCTGCGCTGATCAGCACCTTGTGGACATCCGTGGCCTGCCCGTTCAGCACCCTTTTGACTCCTCCTGCATCATATCCCGAGACCTTCACCGGCCCATAGTTCTTGATCAACTCCCCCGAGGCTGTCTTGAAGTAGTTCTCCTTCTCCAACAGCTTCTCACTGTACCTCTTGGGAAAGGCCGTGACCGAGGCGCCCGTGTCCAGGTTGCACTTGAGCCACTTCTGGCTAATCCCAGCCGCCTCTCTCTTGGCCCTCATGTTCTTGGCGAGTGGGGACACCGCCCATGGTCGTGCCGTAGAGCTCGTGTTGGACAAGGCACATAGCTCCAGGCCATTCGCCTCTCCTTCTGGCTCCTCCTCCAGGGCTGCGGCATCTTTCTTCTTCCCTTTCTGCTTTCCTTTGGACTTTCCTCCAGCAGCTCCTCCACCAGCCGCCCAACAGTCCTTCTTCATGTGGCCGGTCCGTCCGCAGTTATTACATTTGCCTTCAAACTTCTTGTTCTGGCTGGGCCCCATCGGACGTGTTGAAGCCCCTTTTCCTCGACCCATGCTCTGCGGCTTCGACCAGCAGTCTTTCTTCTTGTGTCCCACCTTGCCGCAGTTGTCGCACTTGCCCTCGAAGCGTTGAGCCTTTCCGGCGCCTTTGCCCTTGCCCTTCACCAGCGACGACAGGCTTCCTGACACAGCCTTGACCAATGATTCCACGTCCATGGGCACCGCCTCGTTCGCTGCGGCTTTGCTGAAATTGCCCGACACCGTCATCTTGCTCCCCGTCTTGGCCTCCATGAACGTGACCACCTCCGCCTCCATCTCCTCGAAGGTCTTGAAGCGGCTGTGGTTGAGCAGGAGGTGCGTCTCCAGCTCCCGAGGAACTAATTTTTCTAATGCATTCATGGCGAGGCTGTCGGGCAGGTCCTCGCGCCTCCCGAATTGGTCTTTCTTTTTGTTGTAGCGGCCTCTCAAAGACTTCCATCTTTCTAGGGCGTTGCTCAGCGAGTCGTACCCCGCTCTGTCGGGGTTCGTGAGGGCTTGGAGCATGATCCTCTTCCGGCCTCCCGTGGCCGGATCATACTTCTTGTGGAGCATTCTCCAGGCCTCCAGCCCATTGCCCCGAGGGGCGTTCTCCACCAGGTCGAAGACCACGCCCTCTGTCGTGGCTCTCAGCACGGTGTAGAGCTGCTCATTGAACTCCACCACCTCATCCCATTGATCTATGAGATCAGCCCCCGTGCCGTAGGCCTTGTCGATCTCCTCGGCCACGATGTTGCCCTCAGAGCCTGCCGCCCACTCCAGGACCTCCCGGCTCTTGCCGCTGAAGACCCCCGTGACATAGTCCTCCAGCTTCGATGCCCAAACCCGGAACTTCTCCTCGGCGTCCTCCCCCAGCGTGTAGGGTTTCCCCAACCCTCTCTGGTCCACCAGGCCTCCACGCTCCTTCCTGCCGAGCTTCGCCAGGGCATCCGGCAAGCTCTGTAGCGCCCTCAGAACCTCCGTCTCCATGCCTCCTGAGCCGCTTGCCATGCCCTGCTCAGTGACCTGCAACCGTGCCTGCAGCTGTGCATTCTCCTGCTGGACCTGAACCAGCTGCTGTTGCACCTGCTGCAAGGCTCTCATCACCTCCTCCGCCGAGGCCATCGAGGCAGCCGATGATCACCAGGTGCAGGTCCACGCTGTAGGCCAGCACCAGGACCACCACGGTGATCCACCTCCTCCAGCGGCCTCCAGCCGCTCGGCCACCCAAGACCAGGGCCCTGCCACCAGCCTGCCGGCCCTTCTCCTCCGGTTCACCCCGGCCCGACGCAGGCTGACGGTCTCGCCTCTGGCCGATGACCCGGCGTCTGCCCCTGGACTTGTCCAAGGGCTCCGCTACCATGCAGCGCGGCCCTATTTTCTCTCTTTCCTTTAAGGTCAGATGGCATTCAGTCAAAGTGCAACATGTCTGCAATTTCCGTTTACGACCAAAAACTGGGGCCTTCAACAAAAACAGGCACAAACGAGAAAATGTGTGTCTTCTTCTAGGATCTGGACCCCCAAATGAAACAAATAACTTGTTGTTTTCCCTCAACATTTCCCCTTACCGCCAAAAACTGGGGGCCTTCAACAACAATGGCACACCCAAATGGTCATTCCGTGGCTTCCGTGGCATCCGTAAAGCTCTTCACCCGAGTTTCGCTGCTAGCTCCCCGGGGTCAACCCATGGAAATGTGTGGTGTTCTTCACATGTTCTTCAGGAAGACCCACTTGGGGGCCCCCTGTCACACACACACACCCAACTGGATAGGAATTGCCGATTCCGAGGGGTTGATGTCCACCAATAATTTAGGAGGGTATTCCAACCAAAACGACCCTCCCTCCAATCATGGAAGCTGACGATCGGGCGTTGGAAGACTGCTCAGCGTTCCTTCTGGGGGAGGGAGGCCCCAAACTGCTATTTCCACTTGGGTTGGACCCGCCAAGATGATCGCGCAACGGTTTTGCGTGGTATCTCCAACAAGACACCCGAACCCTGCCTAGGTCCTCCAGTAGAAAGCTTAGAATACGGGTACCCGTTTTTTTTTGTTTAGTTTTTTTTTTTCTGTAGTCGATTTTAGTAGGGGAACCCTCCCCCCAAAAAAAGAAACGGGAGAGAAGGGCACGATCCTGGGGGACCTAGCTGCAGTGGATATCGAGGCTGGACTCACATCCGCTCACAACTTGGTTGACGTTGAAAGGGGAGCACAGTTCAGTGGTGGATTTCCACCACACAATAAGCAAAAATGGAAAAAACTGTTTCCCAACAACAACCGTGAGACAAGACTTGGGCTTCCCCGCCATGAGAGCTAGATGCTCCAAATTCTCGTGGGTGCCGAAGAGCAACTCACCCGTGTAGAGCTCCATGAGAATGCACCTGCGAACGTATTTTTCTGCCCAAGGCAAGGGGCGGGTTGGCGGGGTTGGTCGTCGATTTTGTTTTTGGCTCACCAGGGACGGTGTGTTCTGGAGGCCAACCGGAAGAATGTGTCCAAATCTTCCAAGTCTATTTGCCAAACCGGCTTAACCAAATATAAACCAAGTTGAAATGCACGTCAAGATCGCGCTCATTTGGGCGGCATCCCCGGTCACGATTGTTGAGGATGCAACCGGTGGGAGGCTAACGAGTTGGCTAGGGTTCAATGTCAAACTCATTTTTTGGGGGAATTTTGAGGTTTCAGGCCTTCTGCTTCCCGAGCAACCACCACCCCCAAACATGCATTTGCGAATACGTCCCCTGGGACGGAAAAATAGTTCAAGTGATAGATCCCCTGCAAACTCAACCGGGGAAAATAATCAACAGGGGAAAATATATATCAAAATCAACAGGGGAACATAAATCATATTCTTGAGCAAGGGGAAGCAAAAGGGTACTTAGACTCGGTGATCAATTCCGAATGAGGCCTTCACACTGCAACGTGGCTTAAGGTCTTTTCGGGGGAAACAGGGGCAGGCGGGGGCTAGGGGAAGCCCGGGGGGGGGGGGGTATGTGATTTAAAGGAAGCCAAAGAGCCTTTGCTTCAAGTGTCAACCACATCAGTTGTTTGTCAGGATTGCAATTGTCGCAACTTCAGCACCCTGCTTGTTACCTTTCGAGAATGGGTTTAACAACGTCAAAAGTTCAAGCAGCTTCTCAGACTGTCAAGGCTGGATAGAGAGCCTGTTTGCCGAAAACATTGAAAGGACGCTAACAGGGCTACCTACACCTTCCACCTATCAGCCTACCAAGAGGAGGCGGCCAATATGGAATATGTTTCAGCTGGCTTGAAAAGGGGACTATAGGAAACCCTGCCAACTGCCATTGCGCCGGTAGGCAATGAACTAGTGTTGCCATTTGCTCCCCTACGCAGGGCAAGCAAGCAAAGCAAACCCTCACGTCGAAGGATCGGAAGGCCGTCCGCAGCCACCTGCAAGTCACTCACACAAGGCCCAAACACTCTGCTGAAGATACGCTTCTGGATTCCAATGGCCATAGCAAACCGTCATGAGCTCATCACTTGCCAATCTCTGAGACTCTGAGGGCCCTGTCATCGAGGATGCTCCTGACAATCACGAGCATCGTTGCGAGTGCCGCGAACACACCTCGATGCCACGATGTGAAAGGCGCTGTTCAAAGAGGTTCTGAAACATTCTCAATGGGCTCAAACACTGGGTTGGTAAAGAAATCCAACCAACAACGGACTCTTCTTAAGGTTGATCCCCCATTCTGCCATTCTCTTTACTCTTTCTTCCCTTCAGGAGAAAACACATTCTCTGAGCCTGTAGCCATTGCCGCAATGACAAATCTCTGGAAAGAATGGGGGAAAGCACGAATAGAACTCTGCATCTGTGCTCTGCACAGCCTGGAAGGATCGAACGCTTTGCGTCACTCAGTCGACTTGGCGCGCTCGGCTAGGCCAACATGAATAGTGATTCCCGCGTTCGAACATCGCTGATTTCAAACACGAGCTGCCAGTCTCAAAACAGACAGGTCGTCTATCTGCCTGGACCCTCAAACTACCCATAAAAACGGGATATCACCAACCATAATTTTGGGGGTCAAACCCATGTTTAATGGAATTTTGAGGGTTCAGGTGCTTCCATGAGTCTTGAAGATCCGCGAATCGCTGCCATTTTTACCCAGAAACAAAGTCCCCAACCTTGAGTGTTTAACTAGCGAAGCAAGCGAAACAAAGACAGTGCAGCACATGTATATACACGCCGCGCTGAGTGCAAATGAATTTCTGGGCGTGCTGTCCGCAGCCACCTGCAAGTCACTCAAACAAGGCCCAAACACCGTGCTGAAGACTGAAGACTCCACACGCCACTTCTGGATTCCAATGGCCATAGCAAACCGTCATGAGCTCATCACTTGCCAACTCTGAGACTCTGAGGGCGCTCCTGTCATTCACGAGGATGCTGCTCCTGACAATCGCGAGCATCGTTGCGAGCGATGATCTTCCACCAAATGCTGCCTGCCGCAACACTCCTCGATGCCACGATGTGACCCTGACAAAAGGCGTGTACAACGTTGAAGCGATGCACTTCATACTGGAAAAAAACTCAAACGCTGTCAGCATTCCCGAACACGGTAATCTTATCACTTCAAAGGGCTGGGCTTTTTGCCAGGATGTAACCAAGATGGCCAAACAAAGATCATGCAAAGAAGATTCCAGCTGACAAGGATACAAGTCAGGCCAAATGAAGTACCAAGCTACAAACTGGCAATGATTGGGCAAATGTCACAAAACAAACGTCTCTTAATTCGATCGTACCCTGGCAAAGGACTAACAATGCCTTCCCGGTCCCCAAGACAAACTGCCAAAAGTTCGAAGGCACGTCGTCCAAAGGAGTGAGCAATGGGGCATGAAAGGTAAACTCAGCAACTGGGTGCCCAAATTGCAAAAGCCAACAATCTGCAAACAGCTGATAGAACTCAAATCCAAGTTGTGCAATATGCAGGCAGTGTGCTAGCGATGCCAAAATTCCCTCTTTTAAGTCTTGGGAGTCCAAAACACACACTTGTTGAGCTGGAGTCCTGATCCTTCGTATATATGGAGAGATCCCCAGTTGCTGAGTGACCCTGGCAGAAATACGCGTTGACCACTTTTGGTGGGTCCTCCTCACCCACTGAACATGAAACAGGTGTGGGCTTTTTAAGGGCGGAATCCACGTGAGCGTAGACGACCAATGTCCACCTGCGCGGCAAGCTCGATGAGTCATCGATTCTGGAGATCCCCTGAAAACAAAGCGGCAAGCCGCATGGTTGAAAAAGTCGCCGGTCAAGAAAGTCTCATCTGCCGGCCACCTGAAGGATTCCATGCGGTTGAGGAACGCATGGAATCCATCGGGATTGATGGTATTTTGAGAATGCAAACGTTGAAACATCTGGGTAAAAACATAGTTGGGTGAAACATGATGATTCAACCCGAAAATAATCGAACACCCTTCTGATTCATTCTGTTTTCCCCATGCCTTGGTAAAACCGAGAGCAACAAATTGCCATGACATGGAGTCTCCACATGCAATTCCCCAAGCATTAGAATTGGGAGGAGTATGCCGAACGCCTCCGTCCTATGCCAAATCAGATTGCCGAGAGGCGCTTCGCGTCAATTCGGCCAGCTCAACCGGAAGTTCGGTCCGATGAGAAAGCACGCACTCCATGGCCCAAGGCCAGGGAGCCAGGGAGGGAGTGTGAAAAAGTTGATCCAACACACCCAGACCGTGAAGGAAACTGTGAAGGAAACTGGCCCAAAAACCTTTTGTTGGTGGTCTTGGACGAATTGATCGCTTGATTTTCCGGTCTTTCCAAAAGGCTCGGTAATCAAAGGGTGCCCTCCATTGCACAGCCCATGCCTTGGTGTGTCCCAAAATGAGGGACTCCTAGCACCAGGCCCTGATTTGGTATACCAAGGGGAATTGCCTGCAAGCACCTCTATGCTGGGAAACCCGCGTTCCAAGAAAAGATACCCCAAAATTGAAGATAGATTCCTGACGAAATTGGGGCTTCCCAATCATTTCCACAACCCCTGCGCAAAAAGATGACCCTCATGTGGCAGCTTTAAATGGGGGTTGGAGCAAAACGAGGTGGACTCCTCATCATGGTTTCATTCCGGCTTCTCTTTGAAGTCTTCTTAGTTAGGTCATCAGGTCTTGGCCGCTGTTGTCTGGGGTCTTCCAGCACTGTGCCTATCCTGAACTAAGGGTTGTTGAATTTATAGGCCCCCTTTTTAGACCTGCCTGAACCCTCAAAATTCCCTTAAGAATTGGTTTGACCCCCAAAATTATGGGGTGATATCCAATTTTTATGGGTAGTTTGAGGGTCCAGGTGCATTCCAAATGATTTGCCAAACCTGTGGTTCAAGTCGCTAAGCATGGGTCAAAGTGAAGCAAGGAATCACTGAAGAACCCACAGGGAGCTTCCATCTCATCTCCGTGGCACGGGAACCGATTCCAGCGCAACTGAAACTTGGGAAACCGGAGCTGAAGCCTAAAACTCTCATGCCCCCACGATTCCTGGACTAGTCGTCGACCAAACTATTTCCCAAAATCAGATCTCCCCAGTTGCTTCCATAGTTTGTCCACTAAACTACGACCACCAAAAACGGATTTTGTCACAAGAGACCCCAGGTCTGGTCGAACAGATCCAGAAAATCGCGTCCAACCGAAACCCATCGAAACCCATCGAAACCCATCGAAACCCATCGAAACCCATCGAAACCCATCGAAACCCGAAAACGAAAAAGAGGGAAAAACAAAAAAAGGGAAAAAAACGCCGCGGCTCGCTGGATCGATCGATCTGGGGGGGAGCTGGGCTGACCCGATGGACCACACGTCCGAGAGCTCGTTCCAGCCCATGGCGAGGATCACCTCCAAAGAGACCCGAGAGCCGGTCGGGTCGGGCTGTCGCTCGTCGTTTTTTCAGGTGTCGTCGTTTTTGTCATGGTCCCTTTTGTCATGGGGCCGGGAGGGAGGGGAGGAGGAGGGAGGCCCAATAAGCCCTTAAGCCCTTAAGGCCTTGTTTAGGGCTTGTTTGGGCTCCCTCCCCCTCCCCTCCCTCCCCCCCAGCCCCATGATTTTGGATCCCACTCTGTGCTGCGGGAAACACTTCTGTGGTACAACAAAAAGAGCTTCCCACGTTCTATCCCAGAAGGGGAAGAATCCAACTTGCATCGCAGAAGCGGAGATAAACCCCAAGTGATCCCACCCTGGGTCCCATCATGTCCCATCCCTTGATGCCCCTGGACCCTCAAATTACCCATAAAAATGGGATATCACCCCATAATTTTGGGGGTCAAACCCATTTTTCAGTTGGATTTTTTAGGGTTCAGGCCCATACTTACTGTCTTGGGCTTGCAGATTCCCCAAATCCGCAAGACCCTTTAGGGATGGTCGTCAGGGAAAGGGGTGTCCCTTTTGGGGATGAATTTGTAAGGGAAACCGAGAAAAACAAAACTTATTTATTTCTCCACCCCAAACTCTAAAGTGATGAATTGACTGCACACATTCTCCTATCGTGGCCCACTGCACAAAGAACAAATCAAATCTACAGATCTGCTTCATATCTCTCTGTTTAGAGAAGACTCCTGTATTGAAGTCCCAACGTCATTGCAATGATCTGGGAATCTGGGAATCTGGGAAACCTTTTTCGGCTTCTTTGAGAGGGAAAGGCCTTTTTTTTGAACTTGAACTGGGTGATCGCTTTTAATGTTGTTTGTATCCGGGACGCGAACTGAGTAAAACTGTTTGTCTATAGTCTCGTTAGGTGTTTTTTCTTTCTTGGAGACACGCATTCATACTCTGTTCAATCTCATTTGACGAATTTGTATCGGGGGCGCAAACTGGGTAAAAATCCCTGCTCAGCTTGACTTGGTCATCTCTGCTTGCTCTCATTGGCGCGAATGTGCCAGCGCATCACTCAAAAGTTCGCTCTTGTTTTAACAGCCTATAGGGCCTACCTGGACCCTCAAAATTCCCTTAAAAATGGGTTTGACCCCCAAAATTATGGGGTGATATCCCATTTTTATGGGCAGTTTGAGGGTCCAGGTATATCTTTCAACCGACCTATACTCTGCAATGGGACCCCAAAAAGGGCGGCCCTCAACAGACCCAACACACCCGCATCGCTGGGACTTGTGTTGGGGATCGCCCTTCAACGCTGGCTGAGACACAACATCCCCATGTAAATCATGTCCAACAAGTTGAAAGCGTCCCCGATGAAAAGACCTGAATATTGAAGTAAACGGGTTTTTACCCAGTTCGCATCCCCGATACATGTTCGACAAATGCGATTAAACAGGCATTTATACCCAGTTCATGACCCCGATTAAAAAAAAGAAGCACAAGCTTAACTCAAACAGGAATTTCTACCCGTTGTAGCAAGCAGAGTGAAACCGATTCCAAGAGGGAAATCGCCTTCCAAACGTCTCTGCACTTCTGATTTGTTCTTGGGCGAGTGGTTCTCAGCAAGCAGTGCAGGGGATCAGAGTCGGGACCCCGTCCGCTGTGTCAAAGGCACTGAAGAATCAGAGCCCCGCATCCACATGCAAATCAGGTCGCCAGTTAACTTGGCTGGAATTAGGCCCCCGGCAAAAAGCTCGATTTTTGGCCTGGTTAGTGGAAAACAAACAGGACTCCAAAAAAGCAAAAAACAAAACGAAAGGTGGAGCTAATTCTGGGGAAGTTAAGTAGTCCATTTGATATCTTGCAAGTCAGTGCCAGAACATCAACTTCTCTCTCGTCGGACGCCTGAAGAGAATCATTCCCACGATCAAATTGGTTGAGTACACAAACATGAGGAGAGTCCTTGGGATGTTTGCCACGCTGTTTGACAAGATGTTTCGCCAACGGAATACAAGGGACCCCAAAGAGAAACATACCCCGTGTGTGAGAGCACTATGATCTAGTTTGACCAGTATCCAAGGGTCCAAGACCCTTTAACAATGAAGAGGAACAACAACAGTTGAAGTTCAAGCAACCCACACTCCAAACAGCGAGAAAAAAAGCCACCACTAGAGGTCCGGTGTGCATCGACCTCTTCAAGGATCTTGGAAACAGGTGTTGACACCCACCCGCACTCACGAGCTTCCCCGGCGGATCCCAATGTGAAACAACTCCAAAGTGGTTGGTGGACGTAACAAATTCCCAGCGATAGATAAGGTCCGCCCAAGTGTTTCCTATCAACAAAAAACACCGCTGCCACAAACGCCGCTACAAGTCGCTACAAGCCGCTACAAGCCGCTACAAGCGCCTCCGGCCCTCTGTACTGTCTGGTGTTGATGATGGACGAGTGGTGCTCGTCATCATACCTCTGGGCAAATCTCAGAGGCGTAAGTCTAAAAGCGGGGGAGGGCGAACCTGACTTTTGAAGAATTCTTGGGTGGCGCAAGCCATATGTGAAACAAGTGATCCTTCTGGGCAAGTTACATACTGATACCCTTATTCCTCACAGGAACGATGGGATAAACGTGCATAACCATAGTGAAAGAGTACATGATCGAAGCATTCCATCAAAGGCAGCATGTGCAACAGTTCACCAAAAGCAGCCAAACTCAGGCGTCACGTACATAAAATGATGGTGCTGGTTCGAGCAAGCAATGTCTGGTTCACTTGTGCAGCTGAACCTGCCCTCTTTCTCAAAGCCAACCCAAGCTTCGTCTGCGCGAGCAAATAAGCTGAGGAGAGCAAGGCTCGGTAGTTGTCCTCTTGAAGCAAGCGCGACTCTTCGATGCGTCCAGCCACCAATTTCAGGCTTCTGCTCGCACTCCACATACCCACTTTTCTTTTGTAGAGTGTGGGCAAATATAGTTGTTTTGTCAGGAATTGACATTCCAGAATTCTAGCTGTGCGCCATGTTGTCCAGGACCTTCTTGTCAGGAAATGGCCAAACACAAAATAGTGGTTTCGAAGAAGAACAAGCACAGTTTTGCAAAGCAACATCAACAGACCTTGCAATGGTGTGAATGGGCGTTGTTTTACTGGTTCTCCCCTCAACCGTGTCCATGTCCGTTGGCAGAAAGGCGCACCGGTTTCGGATTGAGGGATTAATCCCCATATCCTCGAGCTTCTCTTGGTTGACGTTGGAAGGGGAGCAACAAATCACAAATTTTAGCAGTTAAGAGGGGATTTCCCAGTAAACCACAATAAGCAAAAATGTAAGATGTTTCCCAACAACAACCATGTTCTGTTCAATTCCATTCATGATCCGTCGGCAAAATCGATTCGGCACGTGGCATTGCCAAAATCGATCAGCTTGATATCGCTGGTGGCCGGTCTCAAGTACCTGGCGGCTCTGGCCTTTGGGTCCAAATCAGCTGGGTGCTTTGGAGTGGTGGTTCGGAGGTTGGGTAGTTTCCCATGCTCCCTCTACAAGAATTGGGGGTTCACATCAAAGCACCAACCCAGAGCTGCCCTGATTGAAGTGAAACAACTAGTCTCCCTGGACCCTCAAACTACCCATAAAAATGGGATATCACCCCATAATTTTGGGGGTCAAACCCATTTAAGGGAATTTTGAGGGTCCAGGTCAATATGCTGGTTCAAGGGAAAACCAAAAATCCTGAGAGTCCTTCAGACCTTTTTCGGGACTTGGTATCCCCTGCAAGGAGAAAGCCAACAAAGACAAAAACGCCTCCACCTCTGGTTTTGAGGGGAGAAAAAGATGGGGGTCGCTGCCCTTGATCTTGCCATCACTCCCAGGGATTTAAGCTTGTCTTATCCCTCAATGGGCCGCTTTCATTGGTGACAATCGATGATTAAGTTTAAATCTGCTTGCATGGGGCTTTCCCACGCTTTAAGCTGTTTTCTGTTTTCTTCTCTGGGGTTGTGACCCCTGCGCGCAATCAACGGCACCAGCCCTCCCTTTCAAAGTGCTCACCGGCCTCAAGACCAAGACATCACCTTGCAGTCGGCTGTTCCAACTCTTCTCCAAACCGGATCCAACTCTTCTCACGGGGCGAACAAAACGAGAACATCATGGGCGTGTACTATACTAGCCCCTTTGAAATGGTCTTCAATGCAAGGAAGCAGTAGATACCAGTTTTCACACCATATGCGCAGGCCTGTGGTCAGAGGATTCAAGGTCCATCCTTTCATACCTCCTATGGTCAGAGGATAAAATGTGCATTCGCACTCTACGACCCCAAAACCAAGCAACGCAAAAGCAACCAACTGAAAATAATTTGTGCGATCCTTGAGATGCAAACAGCATGAGGCCGCTACGATATCCCCACAGTTGACACGGTTCTTGGGCGGCGTGCGCATGACCATTCTTCTTGGTCACCTTGTTCTTGTCCTGCGAGAAATCGTCTCATTGCCCCACTTGGTGTGCTCTTCAAGGACCGGGCCCCCAAAATGGTTGTTCTACTGTTGGTTTCCCTTTATCAGCAAAAAAGGGTACTGGTACCATGTCCAAAAAAACACACGAGAACAATTCAACGTTCAGTGAACTTCTGTCATCAATCTGTGCGGGTTTTGCTTCACAACTCCGAATTTGAGTGCCCCAAGCCAGAATTAAATAAGTGCAAATATTTAGTGAGCATTGTGGTTCAACCACTGCCAATTCTCTTGTTTAAGAGGACACCACAACAATGGCTTTTCTCCGCCCCTTTGTACTTTCGGATGTGGAACAAGCATGAGACAAATAGATGGCTTTCTACCACCCATCCCGTCATGCCCAGCGGAAGATGCAAAAGACGAACAATACATAGTGGATATAGGATGTGAGTTCATGGGCAACTCCCCGTTGAGGTGGAAAGCAATCCCCGCATTAACAAAACAAAACACGCTCACCCCTTTTAGTGCCAATTTGGGCGGCCCCTCAAGCGAGAAACAGACTCCCGGAAGGCTGCTCGTACTGAACACTTCTTTCTCCAAATGACCCTTGTCGTTCGGCAAAGGTCCGGGCCCCATCCCTGACATCAAATGGACAGGAGGGAAATCATGGGTGCTGATGCTAGGAAAGCAAAAGGTGGGAACACGTATCGGGAATGGCCTTTGGCCGGGGGTACCTTTCGGGGTGGTGGACACTTCGGGTCGTTTTTTTTGTCAACCATCTTCCTTGGGCTGTTGGTTGTGCAGGGCTTGTACCTGCAAAATCGTCCCTTAAGTGTCCATGGCACATCCTCTGGGTTGGCACATGCAAAACGAAGGATCCCTTTCCATCACGTAACCCGGCTAAAAAAACACGGCACAGGTCCCAGATCCGCTGCTAAAACTCTGTTTTACCTCCAGTGGTTCAGAGGCGAATTGCAACTAAACCAACTAAAAGGATCTACCTGGACCCTCAAACTACCCATAAAAATGGGATATCACCCATAATTTTGGGGCTCAAACCCATTTTTCCGTTGGAATCTTGAGGGCTCAGGTAAAAAGATCAGGCCCCAGGAACCGGATGCCTGGGGTTCCCAGATGGCTGGAAAGTATTTGAGTCGATGCTGTGGATGGCTGGACGAACTCCGGTTTCGCACTTGGAAACCGTGGTTGAAACCATGATTCGGTGGAAGTTTACGTTGGGGAATCGAATCATTCCATGGTTTCTTAGGTGGTGCGAAATGGATTTTGTTTATTCACAGCAGGGAGGGGTCTTGTGAACCTGCTTTTTGATGGCTTCTGGTGTTCTGAAGGGGGGAACCGGATTTAGGCGAAGTGCTTGATCGCTCCTCAAACCCGAGTCCAGGGAACTCAACAACTCCGAGTCAAATTGCCACATTCCCCGCGAAGTTTGCGAGTGGAGCCTTGCAAATGCCACGCAATCAGCGATCACAGTGTCCCGAACTGACATGTGTGTTTTTGGCTAGCACCAATTTGCTAGTGGTACTTTCGTCAGTGTGCCCTATGTCATGCCCCCAACTTCCGTAGATGGTAGCAAATATGGACCGTTGCTCATGTATGTACATGCACCAAACTCATCTGTTTGGTGAACACTGGAAACTTGGCTTGATTGCTATTGACCCCTCTGCAAAAGCCTTAACTTTTTGTGAGTCCAAAAAGTCAAAGCCACTGCTTCAACCAAAACTTACAGTCCAAAGATCCAACCCAATAGCCATAAAGTAGTGAGTCCCCTTGGTTTCTGAAAAAAATCGTAAGTCCCCAGGTCCCTCCCAAACGGGCCATAGACAAGTCACTTTGACCGAACCTGCAACATCCATTTTTAGTACAGGGCGCCCTGCACTTTTTCTTTGGAACAGAACTCGAGACTGGCAAAAGGGGTCATACTCTTATATCCGGTAGCCAGCCCTGGGTTCCTCAAATCCAACTCGGGCTGATCCTCATCGTGCCCTTGCTCGCCAGTTGCAACTTATCGACTGGTGATGCTTTCTCAAATGCCCAGTGGCCATGGGCAAAAAAGGGCATCCTTTTCTGGTTGGTTGACTTTCAAGGGGAACCCTTACCCAAAAAAAGGAAAAAAGGGCACCACTGGGCAACAGAGCTTTTCTTTTTGGATAGACCAGAAGCCAAACTGAACAGTCCACCCGGGCCGGCAGTCGGCATCCACCCGCAAGTTTGGGCAAACTCATTTTTGGAGTTAGGGTTCAACTCGGGAATATATTCGGGGATGCTTGCACTTCAGGATTTTCCGTGGCTTGCTCTGGGGGAAAAAAGAACAGAAAACAAACACAGCATGTTCTTTCAAAGCGCCATCAGCATTGCCAGCATCGTTTTAACCCACTCAGCATCATTCTTCACACCACTGGGTTATAAGGTGGGCTGGGTGGTTTAAGCTTGGTGCGGGCTGGGTTCGAAAGTGGGCTGAGGGTTGGCGTAGGGTTTGCTTTGGGTTTGTTTGGGGTTGGTTCAGGGTGGATTTAGGGCTGGCTTGGGGTTGGTTTAGGGTGGATTCAAGATTGATTTAGGGTCGGTTCAGGGTTTGCTTGATGTGCTTGGGGGTTGGTTTAGGGTGGGTTCCGGTTGGGCTAATGTGGGTTTAGGGTTGGTTTAGGTGGGACTAGGGTTGGTTACAGCGGGTTTAGGGGTTGTGTGTAGGGCTTATTTGATAATATTTGGTTCAAGAGTGGTTTGGGGCAGGTGTTTAGGGTGGGCTTGAGTTGGAGTTGGGTCCCATTTTGGACGCCTTTCCCCAAACAAGTACGAACAAATTCGCTGTTGAACAAAAATCACGGTTTTCTCCTTAAAAACCTTTTCTCCTCAAGAATCGTTCTCCCAAAAAAATATCGGCTTCCTTCCACTTCGGTGGCAACCCCTCGCCCGCCCCCCGCCCCGGCTTGCGCCCGCCCGCCTGCCAGGCCTGGCGCGGGAAGTCGCTGGGCCGGGGCGGCGCATTGACCGCCAGGAGGATGTTCTCCGGCTTGAGATCCGTGTGGGTCATCTCAGAAGGTATGATACATTCCAGGATATGGAACGCAGAAAAAATGGGGCCCAAACTTCTGAAAGGAGACTCCGACCACAAAAAAGGCTTTGGTTCTAGTGACTCCAGACCAATGTATCCCTTCCAAACAACAATTGGTTGAATGTCCCTCCGCCAGGCTAACATGGAAGCTCCCAGGACACCTTTGGAAGACTTAGTTCCATCTGCAAAGGCCTTCTGGGAGCTTCCATGTTAGTCTGAGGGAGTGTATCCCTTCCAAACAAGAGGACAAACGTATCCCTTCCAAACCAAAAAGGTGGCTCGACTGACTCCGGAGAACTCCGAAGGTCTGCTTTCTCCAAACCAAAAAGGGGGTTCAGACCAACGTGGCTGCGGGTCAAAACCTGTACCCCTAGGGTGAACATCAAAATAGGTGGTACCTGGGTGTTCATCCGCCCAAAATGGAGGCATAGGTCATGACCCATGGCAATGTATCCCTTCCAAACAAAAAGGTATTGGTTCCAATGACTCCGGATGTCTGCTTGGGGCAAGACATCTTCGTCCCACGTGATTTTTTTTCACGTGGGAACCCTTCAACGTCCGGGGGCCTGGAAGATGACGTTCCAGGTGAATTGGTGCGAGGGTAAGTGGTGAGAGTAAGCCTGGTGAAATAACTAAGCCATGGCTACAAGTCTCCGTTCAGTGGGTTGTAGCCAGGCTCACTAGCCACTTACTACTACTGCCCCTTCAAGTGATTCCTCAAAAAATAAGTACTGGGAACGTTGGGGTTGGGGCAAGAAGCAGGGCTGCGGGATTTGGCGCCAGCATGTCTCGAATGTCTCCAGGCCGTTTAGGGGAATAGGGGACGCATTACAAATATGCATTGTGTGACTCGACTTGCTCCTCAGAAAAAATGGAAAACCCTGGCTTCACAGAGAAGCCGAGCCAGTCTTTTTCGACGCACCAACAAATCAAGACGTAGAACGTCTGTTACGGGCCACGATAACCCGAACCGACGAACCGACCCTCAAAAGTAATATGACGATTGCCCACTAAACCCAGGGAGAAGCACCCCCCCCATTTTTCACCGGCCGTACATTTCTATGGGCTCAACCTTGCGGGCAAGCCGCGAAGCCTTCGAAGCGGCGATCGAAGCGCTCGAACGCTCGAAGCCCGAAGCGCGCGCACCTGCAGGCGGCTATGCAGAAATCCCAGCGCTTCGAGGCTCTGCTCGGCGAAGTGCTGGATGTCCTCACCACAGAAACCGATCGGTTCCGTCGACCCATCGATCCATCCGGGCGGCCATGTTTTAACGGGACGCGAAAAACGTGAAGAGTGATACCGGGCAACCAACCGTAGAGTGATACAGGAAACGTGGAAATGTCGAATGCCACATATTTGAGTGTCCAGCTCTTGGGGACTTGGAGCCCTCCAGCATGCTGATATATTTTCTTTGGTGTCCCTTCAAAACCCCCCAAACACTGGTACCCTCAAAGCAAGGCAGACCCATTCTGTCCTTCGCAGTCTTGGCGCATTTCCACTGGCCCCCCCGTCTGTCTTGCCATTCTTTGGGCATCTGTCTCCCCCATTGGACCCGCATGTTCAGCTACCCAAACCACCCCGGGACCCCGTCGCGCCTGCATCCAAAACCCGCGGAACTCGTTCCTCGGATTTTGCGCAACTGGGCATTCCAGGTACGAAAAATGGCCGCTCCGGCTTCTAAGAGTGAACTAGACTACCACCAGCTCTGGTCACTTCCAGTGGAAGTAGCCCCCGCCCACATAAACATGGCACAATGCCTTTTCCAGAACAATGTGGACGATTTACCACAGAACACAAACGAAAAATATGGATAACTAAGCCACCTTCCTCTGGGCGTTTGGTCCCAAACCAAAACCTTTTGTGAGGCGAGGATTTGCCCCAAACCATCTTCCTAGAGTCTCACCAGGCCAAAAACAGGGCGACATAGTTGTGCGCGGTGGTTGTTTAAAGGGACGACTGCCGTTTCGCAAAAAAAAAGCCAACGCCCAAACACGCGGAAGGTCATATGAGTTGTATCGCATGTTGCTCACATTCTTCCTGCTCTGTTGGCATGCCAGTTCACGTGACTTTTACAAGACGGCTGCAACTGGATTGGTATGCATCCAACCCACTTCGAGCAAGCAGATCAACATATACCTGGAGTCTCCTTCTGACCTTTCAAACATGGTGTCATTACCCAAAATAATGGGGTCATGGACCCATTGTTATTTCGGATCAGAAGGAGACTCCAGGTAGTAATTGCTGAAGTTTCCCGGGGCAGAGAAACAAACTCATATTTCCAGTAGTCATAGCTGCACTTTAAACACATTTCAGCAATTGGAAGTAGCTCGGCATGCCAAGTGAGTTGAACCGCCTTTCAGAGTTGCTCCAGTGAGAATGACCAAGGCTGGGTGGCAAATGGGCTTCCTTTTCAGTGGTTCCCCAGAGGGTTTCCCTTTTCATTTCTGGGCTGTCCTCAGATCTGCCAAAAGTGTACTCACCTAAGGAACGAGATGCCTGGGAAACGCCAAGAGTTGGAAAAGAGCTTCCCTTGGATGACCTTTCCTCCATTTTCTTAAGCCCCCTGGCAAAAGATGAGACAATTTCCCCGCAGTGATAGATGCCCAACAAAAAGCAACAGGGGACAATGACACATGGCGTACCCAAAATGGGTTGCCCTGGTAAATGGAACAAAAGACTAAAGCCTGCGGTCCATTTCCTGGTGGTTTCATTTTGACCCATACCCATTTAAGCAAATGAAAGCTTTTAAACCTGTCTTCCCTTGGGATGTGGGAGTGGGAGTTGTCGAACGTCTTGGCGCGCCAAGCGGCTCTTTGAGGAAGTCGTAGAGCGAACAGCCGCAGACTTCGAAGACGAGGCAGAAGTGCCTCCCACACAACTCCCCGGTAGGTGAATGCCTGAATGAATGCCTGACCACTTGCTTAAGCCTGGAAAAAAGATAAAGCAATGCCAAAAAAACAATCCAGTAGTGATAAATTCCCCTTAAAACCAAGGGAACATTAAAAAACAAAATAATAATAATAAAGCAAATGGAAGATTGCAAAAGGAACCAGGGAAACCGAGCTTTACCGCGATTTGCAAGTCGAGGAGCGCGAAACGTAGGGTTTTCCTACCGCAACTTGTGAGGATTGCTTGGACCCGGCTGATTCACTCGCAAAAGGCGGAAAATCGTAGCAGTGGAACGCAGCACCTGCTTCTCACTTTCCGAGTGGACTAGCCAGAAACACGGAATTGTTTGAGATCTACCGCGTATGGACGTCCCCCCAACAAAAAGAGAGGTCCAGGAACTCAGGGAGCGAGGCTTTCAAGTGTAGTTCGAAATGGATCTACCCGGACCCTCAAATTACCCATAAAAATGGGATATCACCCCATAATTTTGGGGGTCAAACCCATTTTTAAGGGAATTTTGAGGGTCCAGGTATGTCTGTTGCCCTTCCTCACACCTGGCGGTCTCGTGCCAGAACATGCCCTGGCTTTCACCACACAAAGGTGCTGCCTGCAAAAGGGGGCACCTGTTTGTACCAAAGGATACCAACTTTTTGGATAGTTGCCAAATGGGTATGCGTCAAAATCGGGGGGTGCCAATGGTGGGTTTGCTTCTTGATTACCAACCTGAAAATGGTCAACCGAAAAAGCAGACCCAAGTTGCGAGAGCTAGATCTGTGGCAACCGAGTCATGGCCCAACTCAATGGAAACCGCTGATTAAGGAACCCATTTTGACCAACACCATCCATTGCGCCTGCAACCAAGGCCGCCACTTTGGAGCCCGGTGGTTTCAAGGTCCGGGTTCATGTGCTCACAAGAACCGGCTCAACACCACCAGCTAAGGGGTACCTGCTTGGGTCTCCCATGACCTAAATTGGACTCCGTGCCTTATGTGGCACTGCTACAATTGCCGCTTACGCCCGAATCTTGCTACCTCGTGGTTTTTCCGTTGTTTTCCGGGTTTTTCACACCCATGGGCCCTGAAGCCCAGGGATCCTGGCAAAGCGAAAGCTCGAAGCGCTTCGACTTCTTTGGGCCCTGGCCCGTTGAACAGAAAGGTGTCCAACATGATCGCACTCCTGGCGATCGCTTTCCCAATCGCCGTCCATGTCAGATCTGTTTTATTTGCCTAAGCCACCTGGAAAAATAATAATATGAAAATAATCCCAGTCTAGTAGTGACAGACTCCCTTTAAAACCGACAAGGGGAAATAGCAAATCATCTCAAACAAAAGAAAGATCCCCTGCTAGAAGTGAATAGCTTGTGGGTTGAATGCAAACCCCACTTTAAAAACCTAAAAATCGTAAAACACCTAAGGGGATGGCTGCGAACCACCAAGCAAACATACGGAAAGTATCCTGGCACAAAAACAACCTGACCTCATGTTTTCCTGGGGTACGTGCACCAAATAGAGACACCGCAAAGCAAAAAAACACGCGAGGGACAGCAGAAGAGACATGTGTTGATATTGCAATTTGCCTTGTGGGATGGGTCAAAATTAAACCACCAGGGGACCGCAGGTTTTAGTCCCTGCTTCCATTTAGCCGGGCGACCCATTTTGGGGTTACCCTATTTTTGACCCACTGCCTTGTCCATACCTGAGTCCATTCAGTGTTTGAAGTTCATCAGCTTCCTCCCAGTTGGTGGCTTGGAGCCCGGGACTTCTGTGGTTCAGGGCTAGTTTCCCATTTGCCTACAAGAACCAGGGGTTCAACAAGTCCCCACCACTTCAAACCACCAATCTTTTTGGGTTGCCAGGCAACTTGAAAGCGAAAAGGAGCCCCACCATTCTGGGGCTCAAGGTTTCTGGCAAAGGCTTTGGTCCCATGCTCCGACTTTCCATGGAACCCAACAAACAAAATGGCGGTGGAGCATTTTTTTGGACTTGGACGCGCCAGAAAAGGTGCCTGAACCCTCAAAATTCCCTTAAAAATGGGTTTGATGATCCCCAAAATTATGGGGTGATATCCAATTTTTATGGGTAGTTTGAGGGTCCAGATGGTGGTCCTCTTGGCGTCGCTTTAAAACCGCAAAGAAGGGTACCCTCACCAAAAAAAAACACCCATTTTTGCCCCCCGTCCGTCCACAGGGGAGGCTCGATCAATCCTTCGAGCATCTTCCTCACTCGATCCGGTGGTGTCAATTCTTGAGGGGATCCTTAAAGCCGCCAAAAAAGGCGACCTGGACCCGCAAAATACATATAACATGGGTCATTGCAACCCGAAATGATGGTTGGCGAATTGGTAAATCCCCTTCTTTAATGTGTAGTTTGAGGGTCCAGCAACAACCATTCACCCGCTCGGCGCGGCGCTCGGCTCCTGGTCCGCTTGCCCTGAGGATCCGCCTTTTTGATATCCTGCGCGGATTGTTGAGCCGATTGGAGCAGTGAACCAACCACAAATCCTTCTATGGTCATTTAGAGGCTTGCTCCATACTTGCAACATTTCACGGTGTGTTTTTGCGGGTACGGTTTTTGGGGTGCTTTTAAGGGGGAAAACGAAAGGGAACCCCCAAATGTCTGGTGCCCCCATTTTGAAACAGAGCCATTGGGAGAATCAATAAGCCCCAAAGTCTACCCAAAAGGACCCAGTCCCGCAGGATGTCTGCTTCGATCTTGGCGTTCTCGGCATACCTCGGACGAGCCGTGATCTCCGGAAACCGCGCTCAGTGGCCCGTCGAAACCTGTTCGAGCCCAGCTAAGAGCCTGGATCAACTACCTAGAGTCTCCATAACCCTTTAAAATGGGGTCACCCCTTATTTTGCATGGAGACTCCAGTACCTTCAAGGGGAAGGGGGGGGGGTCTAAATCGAATGGACATCCTGGAGTAAGCCCCTACATGAATTGCAGCGCTTTAAAGGAATCTTTTCTTTTGAGAAATTAGCCACTGCTGCACTGCTACTGGGAAACGAAACAACCAGGGAAAATGGTGACATTGAGCAACTGCAGGACCCTTACTCCAAAAAGTTGGCTCCAAATCTTCCCTCGTAACCTCAGCACGACTTATTCCAATCTGGCATGATTGAATCATGGTGGCAATACCACAACATGAACTTTTAGCGTACATGAAAACCTAGTTGACTTTGGAGTAACTAGGGCAAGCCTGCCTCATGCAGACCGGTCCGTTGCTTGCCCGGCGTGTGAGCTTTGTTCGTTGAACCGCCTGTGCTGCAAGCATCTTGACTGCAGAACTGGCCCAGCAGCCACGAAACAAACCTCCACTTGCTTCGTCCAGTAGTGACACATTCCCTTTAACACCAGGGGAAATACAACATCCTGGACCCTCAAAATTCCAACTGAAAAATGGGTTTGACCCCCAAAAGTATGGTTGGTGATATCCCATTTTTATGGGTAGTCTGAGGGTCCAGGATGTTCCTTTCAGCAAATGGAAGCAAAGAGGGCACCCTTTGCTGGGCTTTCGCTGGACCGAAAGCCAAAACACGAGAAATAGATACCACTGGCCTGAGATCTTCAGGTTCCAGCCAATCAGCCGGGATGTCTTGAGATCACTCACTTGTCCGGCTTCTCGTTTCATTGATATCAACCTGGACTCTCGAAATACCCTGAATCATGGGCCATTGCCCCAACACTGTGGGGTGAACTCCCTTTTTTCCAGGCCCATGTTCAGCGCACCGCCCCTTTTTCTTCCGCGTCCACGCGCCATCCTTTTCGGCGGTTCGACCAACCGCCGACGCGCTCCATGGGCTCCCAGAAGATTTCGAGCACCTGGGTGGACTTAAGGGCGAGCGAAGTTTCGAGTTCGGGAAAACCTGAAAATTGCCCTCCCCATATGTACCTGAACCCTCAAAAAAATCCTTCTTAAAAATGGGTTTGACCCCCGAAATCATGGTGGGTGATATCCCACTTTTATGGGTAGTTTGAGGGTCCAGGTATCCTTTTAGGGGAAATAGATGGATATCCCTGGTAGATGATGAAACCACCAGGTAAGCCAAAGCCATCTATTTTCTACCAAGACAACCAAAAAGGACACCTGTGACCCTCCCCTTTTCACATGGAACCGTTCGACGTTCGGGACCCGGTCCTTTAAAAGGATAAAATGCTCCAAATCGGGACCCTACGAACGTCAAATTCCATGTTGGATTGGTGGGAAGCTGTACCAAGTTCAGGGGAACCCCCTGAGCTTGGTCGACGTTGGAAGGGGAGGAAAAAATTAAGTCTTAGCAGATAAGTGGGGATGTGCCACTAAACCACAATAAGCAAAAATGGGAAACATGTTTCCCAACGACAACCATGTGAGAACCGGCAAGTTTTCGACGTACAGAAAGTGGAAAAACCGCCATGGGGAAGGCTCCCTACGTACACCGACCCTTTCCGTGCAACACTCGAAGCTTGAGATGATTCGCAATTCGTGCAACTTCCCATCAACAAGCCCTGGGTTGATTGATTTAATCACTGAAGTTCCCGATCTCGGGAAATCCTCCTTCCTGGACCCTCAAACTACCCATAAAAAAGGGAAGCCAACCCAAATTCTGGGGGCAATAGGCAGGTATTTTGAGGGTCCAGATTTGCTTTTTAGTCCGCCAGGTTGATCAATTCGTTGCGCCCTCTGTTGCAGTTCCGTCAACATTCGGAGTCATCACCCTTTGGGCTCTTAAAATGGCATGTCGATGGCCAACATTTGTCCCAAAGCTTGGGGTAACTCCCTTTACTGCAGAACTCCCGAAAAGAAAAAAGAAAAACATTAGATGCAACTGAGGGTCTCGGGCTTGATCGTCCGATCCAACAACCGCCCGGGTCCCAATTCCAATGACCTAGTCTTCCCCAAGTGGAAAACGGAGCCATGGGCATAAATGGACCATTTATAAGGGGATCTTCCAGAGAGTTCAAAGTCCGAAAACTGCGTAGCGAGAATCAGCTGAATACAGCGCTCCGAATCCTTTGGCATATGGCTGTGGCTCAAAATTAAGGAGCTAGGGTTACGCAGGTTTTACTCGTGGGTTGCATTTACCAAGGGGGCCATTTTGGTATGTTTATTTGACCCACAGCCATATAGAGATGGCAGAGAGAAACCAGTCAGAAAAGTCCCCCCCTTTTGTTCCAGCCTAAAGTTTTGCTATCATCAGGTGGCAAGGGTCCTGTGAAGAGCATTGCTTTCATAGCTGTCCTTGGCAAATAAATGGATTTCCCTGGCACCCCCTACTCCAAACACCCACTCCACCCAAAAAAATCGGACACCTTTTGCGTTGCTTCCCGAATCCGATGTAACCTCCGGGTCCTCATAGCTGGGATCGTCTCTCAAAATGAGAGGGGACCCTTCCCCAAAAAAGGACGGAGCGATTTTTCTTTTTTGTTGAATATGTAAATCCAGGAAAAAGTAACACTCAACAATCTAATGAAACAAGAATAAGTAGATTAACATACATTTGTCGCATTGATGTTCAATTTAGAATTGTGAGAATGGCGAATATCACAGAACACATGTTAAAATATTAATTCCAGTCCTTTTCTGTCATAGGTTTACCGTACTTGGCTCCAGCTGCTTTGCCAACTGCGAGGAGCTTGCACGTAAACAAAAATGCTCTTGAAAGCAGAGAAGCGAACGCATCAGGGTACAGTATGTCTCAATTTTCTGAAGGGTTTTGTATTACACCCTGGGATTACACCCACTGGGTATTGACCCAGAATGCTTCAAAGTAACACGGTTTTATCCGGAAATGTGCCTAAATGGGGTCAATTCCCAGTGGGTGTATTCCCAGGGTGTAATACAAAAAACCTTAGAACTTTGTTCGTGCCGTACATTTGCCTTACATCGAGCTGTCTGCCCGGCTTGCATCCTGATGATGCGCTTGGCAGTTGCCCTCCTGATGCGCTTGCATCCTGATGCGCTCCAAAACGAGTGACTTGCTGGAACCGTGACTGCGGCTTCCCATCTCGGATGTTCGTCAAAACGAGTGACCCTTCAACAAGTTGTAATTTATCAAATCGCCCCACGCCGCGAAGATATTGCATGTATATATATATATATATATACACATACAATCTTTTGCAACCTCCCTCCCAAAACAAGCGCCCGCTGCTTGTGTAAGGGGGTCAAGTCATCTTAGACAGGTTTCACCACAAGTGGGCTCATTTCACAATTTGGCAGACTTTCGCAGATGATTCATTAAGACCTTGCCACCCATATACATTGATAGCATTTGCTCTTCTACGTTCTGAGCAAATTCTCGATGGTTGATTTTTTCCAACCATTTCATATATAGTCTAGCCACAACTCAATCTAGTTAATTGGACAATTAGCATCAGAAGTAAAGTTTGGTACAGTGAAAAGGCGAAGCCAGGTAACACGTCATATCACATTGGGTCTGGACCAGACTAGGTCATACACAATTCTCTGAAGTGTTCAAAAATGTCAGCTGAGAAAAACACATCTGCTGTCAAATAGAAATCGCGATGTTCTCTCAGTGTGCCCAGATTAATTGTGTTTTGGTATGTCTTCATCGCTGATGTTATCCTCGCTCAATTGGCTGTAAAACATCTCTGTGAGGGAACCATCGCAAGTGTAGCAAAACAAAGGCAAACCATACCTCTTCTGCTTCGCCTATACATCTTCGATTTCCCATCTCAACTGATGTGCAAATCCTCTTCGTCTGTCACTTACAGACCTGTGGCAATACCAAAACATCTGCTACGCTTCCTTCATCTCTCATCGCAACACGTCTGCAAATCGTCGTCTGTCAGCTCACAAACCTCCGCCAAGACCAACACATCTGCTCACACCTCATATGCCCTGACCAATGCCACGCTGTCTGCTAAAATAGCTAATGTCCCCGAACAACATATGTTCTGCACAAAACCGCTGCCAAACAGCATGTGAAACACTGTTTTTGTTTAACAGGTTTTTTTCCATATCCCAGGGTTGGTGTGGAGTTTTTTACGGTCATTTAAGCACATATCCAAGGAACTATCATTTGTATTTACCACGCACAAGTCGGAAAGGATACTAAGGTGCACACCCAAACAGGAATGACTGAAAGCAAACGGCTTAAGGCCCTCTTCGATCTAAGACTCAAGATTCACAAAATTCCCGCAACTCTAGACCTTGAATCTTGAATCTTGGATCCAGAATGCGACCCCCCAAAAGAAAAAACAACAACAATCAAGCGCTTTAAAGCACTTTTGGATCCAAGATCCAAGAATGAAGATTTGCCGGAATCTAGATCTTGAAACTCGAACCCATAACCCATCCCTCAAACCGCTTTAAAGCACTTTGGAATCTAACATTCAAGATTCCCAGGACACTAGTGCTTGAATCTTGAATCCATGATAAAAAAAAACGCTTTAAATCGCTTTAAAGCGCTTTAAAGCGTTTTGCGGGATGCCCTAGTTTCAAGATCTAGAGTTGTGGGAATGTTGAATCTTGAGTAACATATCCAAATGTGCTTGAAAGCGCTTTGAAGCGCTTTGGGGGGTCCCATGATGGATTCAAGATTCAAGATCTAGAGTGCGGGGAATCTTGAATCTTGGATCCAAAAGTGCTTTAAAGCGATTTAGGTCGATACAGTCACAGTCAAATGTCAGCAGATGCGGGCATAGTTAAATGCTCAAAACTGGGGTGCTTCATGTTTTTTTGGGGGGAGGTACCATATATATATATATACACACTAAATATACTA